CGTTATCTTGTAATATTGCTTGCAAAATCTTCAATATAACTTTTTGAAATCAGGTTTGGTATCTGTCATTTCTATCACTGTTTTAACATTGGTTTTTGTCTCTTGTTGAACTAAAAGGACCTGCAGAACGAAGGGCTGTGTTTGCGGCCTCTCTGCAGCTTCTGGGGCTGGGGAATTCTGACAAATTACTGCAAGGAGCATGAAGGAGCCACAATCACTTAATATCAAATTGTAACTGCGTATTTTCTACTGTCTCTGGGGCTACATTGTCACAACTAGACCTCTAATGGCAGCGTCATGTAAACATGGCTCTAACACGGTCAACGACTCAACTCATACTGCTCAAGTGACACATATTTATCTTATTTAAGCCCCACATTTACTGTCATTACCTGCATTAGTCAGTTTTGGGTCATCTACCAATGTTCACTTTCCTTTGCCATGGTGATGGTGACGAGAATAAGATAGACTCTAATGATTACGATGGAAATTATAATTGTAGTTGTTGAAATAATTGTTTTACTGACCAGGCAGCTGAAGTGAATGTATTTGTACTTAGAAGTCTTACTTCTTCAGATAAGATAGACTCTTCCCACTCTTTCAGGTTTCTATAGGGGTGAAGAAGAAATATGTGTCTATGTATTTATGTCAAATAACTGAATCCTGAATGAAACTAAAAACATGAATAAAAATGAATATTATCTCATCATTCATTGAAAATCCAGCAGAGGGCGCTGGTAAGTCACATTAGTTACAGTCTTGTCATGGTAAGTTTCACATTGTGGTTTTTGCACAAAAATGGCAGGAATTTATGGAATAATCCATCAAAAAGTGTGGGTCAGACCTCCTCACTGTGGGTCAGACCTCCTCACACTGTGGGTCAGACCTCCTCACACTGTGGGTCAGACCTCCTCACTGTGAGTCAGACCTCCTCTCTGTGGGTCAGACCTCCTCACTGTGGGTCAGACCTCCTCACACTGTGGGTCAGACCTCCTCACTGTGAGTCAGACCTCCTCACACTGTGGGTCAGACCTCCTCACTGTGAGTCAGACCTCCTCTCTGTGGGTCAGACCTCCTCACTGTGGGTCAGACCTCCTCACACTGTGGGTCAGACCTCCTCACTGTGGGTCAGACCTCCTCACACTGTGGGTCAGACCTCCTCACACTGTGGGTCAGACCTCCTCACTGTGGGTCAGACCTCCTCTCTGTGGGTCAGACCTCCTCACACTGTGGGTCAGACCTCCTCACTGTGAGTCAGACCTCCTCACACTGTGGGTCAGACCTCCTCACACTGTGGGTCAGACCTCCTCACACTGTGGGTCAGACCTCCTCTCTGTGGGTCAGACCTCCTCACACTGTGAGTCAGACCTCCTCTCTGTGAGTCAGACCTCCTCTCTGTGGGTCAGACCTCCTCTCTGTGAGTCAGACCTCCTCTCTGTGGGTCAGACCTCCTCACTGTGGGTCAGACCTCCTCACACTGTGGGTCAGACCTCCTCTCTGTGGGTCAGACCTCCTCACACTGTGGGTCAGACCTCCTCACTGTGAGTCAGACCTCCTCTCTGTGGGTCAGACCTCCTCTCTGTGAGTCAGACCTCCTCTCTGTGGGTCAGACCTCCTCACTGTGGGTCAGACCTCCTCTCTGTGGGTCAGACCTCCTCACACTGTGGGTCAGACCTCCTCACACTGTGGGTCAGCCTCCTCTCTGTGGGTCAGACCTCCTCACACTGTGGGTCAGACCTCCTCACACTGTGGGTCAGACCTCCTCACTGTGAGTCAGACCTCCTCTCTGTGGGTCAGACCTCCTCTCTGTGAGTCAGACCTCCTCTCTGTGGGTCAGACCTCCTCACTGTGGGTCAGACCTCCTCTCTGTGGGTCAGACCTCCTCACACTGTGGGTCAGACCTCCTCACTGTGAGTCAGACCTCCTCTCTGTGGGTCAGACCTCCTCTCTGTGGGTCAGACCTCCTCACACTGTGGGTCAGACCTCCTCTCTGTGGGTCAGACCTCCTCACTGTGGGTCAGACCTCCTCTCTGTGGGTCAGACCTCCTCACACTGTGGGTCAGACCTCCTCACACTGTGGGTCAGACCTCCTCACACTGTGGGTCAGACCTCCTCTCTGTGGGTCAGACCTCCTCACACTGTGGGTCAGACCTCCTCACTGTGAGTCAGACCTCCTCACACTGTGGGTCAGACCTCCTCACACTGTGGGTCAGACCTCCTCACTGTGGGTCAGACCTCCTCTCTGTGGGTCAGACCTCCTCACACTCTCACACTGTGGGTCAGACCTCCTCACTGTGAGTCAGACCTCCTCTCTGTGGGTCAGACCTCCTCACACTGTGGGTCAGACCTCCTCTCTGTGGGTCAGACCTCCTCTCTGTGGGTCAGACCTCCTCACTGTGGGTCAGACCTCCTCTCTGTGGGTCAGACCTCCTCACACTGTGGGTCAGACCTCCTCTCTGTGGGTCAGACCTCCTCACACTGTGGGTCAGACCTCCTCACACTGTGGGTCAGACCTCCTCACACTGTGGGTCAGACCTCCTCTCTGTGGGTCAGACCTCCTCACACTGTGGGTCAGACCTCCTCACTGTGAGTCAGACCTCCTCTCTGTGGGTCAGACCTCCTCACTGTGAGTCAGACCTCCTCACACTGTGGGTCAGACCTCCTCACACTGTGGGTCAGACCTCCTCACTGTGGGTCAGACCTCCTCTCTGTGGGTCAGACCTCCTCACTGTGAGTCAGACCTCCTCTCTGTGGGTCAGACCTCCTCACACTGTGGGTCAGACCTCCTCTCTGTGGGTCAGACCTCCTCACTGTGGGTCAGACCTCCTCTCTGTGGGTCAGACCTCCTCACACTGTGGGTCAGACCTCCTCTCTGTGGGTCAGACCTCCTCACTGTGGGTCAGACCTCCTCTCTGTGGGTCAGACCTCCTCACACTGTGGGTCAGACCTCCTCTCTGTGGGTCAGACCTCCTCACACTGTGGGTCAGACCTCCTCACTGTGGGTCAGACCTCCTCTCTGTGGGTCAGACCTCCTCACACTGTGGGTCAGACCTCCTCTCTGTGGGTCAGACCTCCTCACTGTGGGTCAGACCTCCTCTCTGTGGGTCAGACCTCCTCACACTGTGGGTCAGACCTCCTCACTGTGAGTCAGACCTCCTCTCTGTGAGTCAGACCTCCTCTCTGTGGGTCAGACCTCCTCTCTGTGAGTCAGACCTCCTCTCTGTGAGTCAGACCTCCTCACTGTGAGTCAGACCTCCTCTCTGTGAGTCAGACCTCCTCTCTGTGGGTCAGACCTCCTCACTGTGGGTCAGACCTCCTCTCTGTGGGTCAGACCTCCTCACACTGTGGGTCAGACCTCCTCACTGTGAGTCAGACCTCCTCTCTGTGAGTCAGACCTCCTCTCTGTGGGTCAGACCTCCTCTCTGTGAGTCAGACCTCCTCTCTGTGAGTCAGACCTCCTCACTGTGAGTCAGACCTCCTCTCTGTGAGTCAGACCTCCTCTCTGTGGGTCAGACCTCCTCTCTGTGGGTCAGACCTCCTCACACTGTGGGTCAGACCTCCTCTCTGTGGGTCAGACCTCCTCACTGTGGGTCAGACCTCCTCACTGTGGGTCAGACCTCCTCACTGTGAGTCAGACCTCCTCTCTGTGAGTCAGACCTCCTCTCTGTGAGTCAGACCTCCTCTCTGTGAGTCAGACCTCCTCTCTGTGAGTCAGACCTCCTCTCTGTGGGTCAGACCTCCTCACTGTGGGTCAGACCTCCTCACACTGTGGGTCAGACCTCCTCACACTGTGGGTCAGACCTCCTCACTGTGAGTCAGACCTCCTCTCTGTGAGTCAGACCTCCTCTCTGTGAGTCAGACCTCCTCACTGTGGGTCAGACCTCCTCTCTGTGGGTCAGACCTCCTCACACTGTGGGTCAGACCTCCTCACTGTGGGTCAGACCTCCTCACACTGTGGGTCAGACCTCCTCTCTGTGGGTCAGACCTCCTCTCTGTGGGTCAGACCTCCTCACACTGTGGGTCAGACCTCCTCTCTGTGGGTCAGACCTCCTCACTGTGGGTCAGACCTCCTCACACTGTGGGTCAGACCTCCTCACACTGTGGGTCAGACCTCCTCACACTGTGGGTCAGACCTCCTCTCTGTGGGTCAGACCTCCTCTCTGTGGGTCAGACCTCCTCTCTGTGGGTCAGACCTCCTCTCTGTGAGTCAGACCTCCTCACTGTAGGTCAGACCTCCTCACACTGTGGGTTAGAGAGGGAGAGCTTAGAGAGGGATAACCGCCCGCGGAGGGCCAAAGGTGAGTGGACAATTTTATTTTTTTTATATATATATGTGTTTTTCAGAGTTCTAAAATGTAATATTGTTGCAGAAGATTCTGGATTTAATTACTATACGAAATAAACTGCATTTTGAGGTATTTTTATAAATCACGATGTTACTGTTTATTAGGATTTGAGATGTGTCTTATTCAGATCACAGCAATAATTACATCTGAAAACACAGATCATTTTGCTTCCGGTTGTTGGCTCAGACTTTACGCCATGATGATGAAACTTTCAATCTCTCTTGATACTCCTTTCGACTCCCACACAAACGGATGTGACTGAACAGGAAAATCAGGACTATTCAAGAAGGTAGAAAGTGTAAACATATTATGTAATCAAATATATTTTTTGTTTTGTAAAGATTAATAGGTGCAATAAGCTTTAGCTTCTGCCTATTCCATTTAAGACATAATATGTGTACATTTTCCTTTTTCATGTAATGAATGTTAAAATAAATTTTATTTTCAATTTCAAGTCAATTTTTTATTCAGGATCATCGTTCATTATAAAACAATTTATAGACACAACATAGTATAGAATAAATACAAAATAAAATCCTGCTTTTTATTGTTGCAGATACTGCCCAGATAAATACAAAGTGTTTATTAGACACATTGCATTGGTCAAATCCACTGAGTGACAATGCACTCTGCTTCTTTAGCCAAAGACAGATGTCAAATGTTGTACACTTGAACTGAAATACCCAGATCCAGATGTGATTTGACCTCATAGATGTAGAAGAAGCCGTCTGTGTCCAGCAGATTGTGGAACTGCAGATGGACTCTGCTGCTGTTATGGAGCTTCACTTTAGTGTTGAAGTACATGAGTCCAGAGCTGATCTTTTTCTCCAAAGTTCGCTCCTGTCCGTTATGTTTGTGCACAAGTTTCACCGTCTCTTCAGCGTTAGTAGTCATGTTCAGCCAGCCATGGATGGAGTAGTCACCAGATTTCTCTGCTTGGAAGATTTCACAGAGACGCTTTCCTTTAGTGTCTGAAATTACATTTCCATTGTTTTATTTTCATACCATCATACTAAAACTAAATTGCTTTGACGCAACAGTAAAATATTTAAACACGTCTATATTAATTTACTTATATACCAGTGTTTTTATTTGATTTCCTTTTTTTTTTTCTTTACTGCGACCCAAAATACTACTCCAATAATTGCGTAAAGTTATTTCTTCCTTCTGTTGGGGCTTACGGTGTTTTCCTATGAAAATACTACTACATTAGTACTATAAACTATACGTATGCTATAATGTATAGTCAACAGTAAAGTCAATTTGAAGACTGAATACTGTATTCTAAGCATACCTTGGATTCTGCAGGTGATGTTGACTTTTCCATCATCAGTTGGAGTCCTACAGATGTCCTACAGATACAAGAGTTCCAGTTATACTCAAACGTTATTACCTCAGATTACAGAGCTGAAGGTGCTTACCTGGACACAGAGCGTTCTGAAGAAAAAGAAGAAGAAGAGACAAACAGACACAGACACGAGAACCAGTGCAGACCCCAGGATGATGGTCCCACGTCTGCAGTGAGGGGCTCGTGGCGGTGCACCCAGCTGCTGGTTCAGCATCTCTAGCTCTATGTGCTCTATGTGCTGATGGATCTTCATCTTTCATAGATCTTTCACTTGCACGTCTTCTATATAAGCCATTTTCTTCCCACACACAGAGAATGCGGGAATCCCAAGCAGCTTTAGCCCCGCCCCTGTAATGTCACAGAAGACAGAGGGAATCCTCTGAGTTAATGATTAGGCAGGTGTTTTTCTGCCCCATGTGTAGTATTACCGGCCTCCTATGGTTTATGAGGTTTATAACATGTGCCTTTTGTTAAAAAAAGGAATATATAATGGGATATAATGGGTTTCAAAGGTTCTAATCTAGTGTATATTTGTTGGGGATACATCTGAAAATGTTTCTTTTCTTTAAAATAAAAAGTACTGTGCTACTCATGTGGCATATCTTCCAGAGGAAGAATAATTATTTGGGCAGCACAAAGGAACTATAACTAAAGTCTAGCTAAATGTGCTGCCTTAATCCAAATAAAAACACAACACATTAGCAGCTTTCCTCCCGTCTCATATATATTTATTTATCTATCTATGTTACAAAGTGCAAATGTGGTTGAGTTTGCTCTCATCAAAATCTGAGGTCTATAGAAATTCTAACCAAGCCGAGAATCATCTGCAAAGACAGGTTCCCTTACAGCACTGGCTGAAGATGGATCAAATGCAACTCCTTATGTGATTGAGACAGTCTGTTTCCAACCATTGTCCCATATTTCACACACACACACACACACGCACATGTGCACACGCACACACACACAATTTACATCAACAGTGGACATACAACAGTCAAAGTGTCTTGCCAAATGACACAACCCCAGTCTGCATGAGCTACATGAGCATAAGGATGTCCAATCAGTGAAAGCCAGTCCAAAGGTTATTGAGACTTTCATCTACGTTCTCACCAATGGTGCAGGAAGTGCAGCTTTGCTCTTACGTCACACAAAAGTTCCTCCAAGGGATTGTTATAATGTATGTTCGTCTGGAGGGTTTCTGGTACTATGCTTTGTCACCATTGCAAAGCACAATCGTCTATATTAGTAGTAATAGTAGTAGCAGTAGTAGCAGCAGCATATCACAATTTACTATTGTAGTAGTAGTAGTAGTAGTAAGAGCAGCCGCAGCAAATTGCAATCTCCTATAGTAGTTATAGTAGAAGTAGTAGTAGTAGTAGTAGTAACTGTGACGGTTAAAATGGTTGAAAAGGACGAGTGTTGAAGGCCGAGTGGAAGTGGCGTACGTCCAACCTTCTGGTGATTATGACGTCTTCAAAGATAAGGTTTGTGAGGTTAAATATCATGTCAGGTGCAGAGGAAGGACCATAGATTTGCAAAAGCCCTGTTTAAATCTATATGAAGCAGGCATGAATGACATTGAAATGACAAGAGATAGAAGATCTAACATAATGATTATAATGAACCTTATGAACAGTTCTCCAAGGGGGGTAGATAAATACTGAAAAGGAGTGGACCAAGGACTGACCCGTGGTCCACAATATTCAGGTTGATGATGATAGAATCCCATTAAAAGATACTTGGAAATATATAATTTTACTGGTATACTATTTGTTATTGCACCATAATCTGAAGCCAATTCAAATGTCTGATTATGTCTAGTAACAAATAGGATCACTGTGCAGAGCTTCATAACGTCACTGAGTCTCTGTGCATAATAAAGGTGTTTGCAATCCCACTGTAAGACTGCCTTTTACCTACAACAGCGATGACTTTACTGCCTACAATGGTCTTTATGGGAGAGACAGCCAAAGGTCAACTTTCACCTGTTCTCTTGTATGATTTATTGGCGCGCACATTTGGTCTTTATTTTGCACACACACAAACGCACACACACGTACACATACAGTAGACACATAAAAAACGTACCTGTACACATGCACACATACACCCAGCACCCAGTTTTGGAGAAAACAGAAACAAACACGTTTATGATACATGACACATGTATGATTAAAATAAATAGTATGAATGAAGAAAAGTGCCACAGTTCATAGCAGTGGCATATGTTTGGGTAAGACATTTAACTCCACTTTGCCTGAAGCCCCTGCTGAAAAACCAAGGCCATGCCATAGAGCAGCCGTCCTCCTGTGGACTCACCACCTGCAGGAGGATCAGGGAGGGGCTGGTGCTCTGTGTACTGGGTGGCATAGCCCCCCCCCCCCCACCCCCCGCCACCCCCGCCGACCCAGAAATGGATAAAGGGGAAGAAAATGGGTGGATGGATCGTTGTTTGGAAAAGCATGTGGTCTATGATTATTATTTCCCTGAAATAAACACACACAAATGTACGTATAAGTAAACATGCGTTGATTCAGTGTCAGTGCAGACATTTAAAAAAACAAACAAACACATTAATATATTTGGTCCTCTGCACTGACTTACTCACTCGGATTTACCGAAAATAAAATTTAAATCTGCTGAACATTGTCATTTATGTTGCTAATTACCAAACAAACAAACCCTAATTAAAACTTGTCCCCATTGATTTCAACTGAGTGGCATGTGCAACATAATACATTATTTTCAGTCGATCTCACTTAGTCCTGTTCCAGTCCATGCTTGCTCCAGTGCCTGAAGAATGGGAATCTTCCATTGATCTGCACTCTCCCTCAGGAAAGGAAAGTCCCTCACAAGTTATGGTTTATTTTTAGACTAAAGCAGTAATAAACATGACACAACTCGACCTGCAAAATCTAAAAATATAGACGATATTGTGCAAATGAGAGTGAGCGAGATTGTGGACTTTCACTTTTGTTTAGAGATAGTTTTGACGTGCTGTGCTGATGAAACTGCTGAGTGTGGTAAAAACGACAGTGTGACACAATAGTTGTACTCGCTACATGTTTTATTACCTTTTATGTTGTTATCAGAGGAGTTACATTGCAAGTTTCATACTATTCCACCAACAAATCCACATAAGTATTTACAACAGCATGGATAAGCATTCTAGCATTCTTATGCTTAACACAATTGCACTCTATAGTTTTGAAAAGGGAGTTGTGTACAAATATCACTGAAGATACTAATATTAGATGTGCAGTTAGTATCACCTGGTTTGCTTTGTTCCATGCTTTTTGTGCAACAAGTCAAGTGTCCAAAAAATAATGGAATACATTCATTTGGTCATGTAAACTTGGTAGGGTAGAAATTGGGCCAAGACTGGTAAAACAAGGTAAAGCCTTTGTTTTAATACGTACAGTAGGCCTAATGCAGACCGGAATAGGGAAGTAAGCATTAGCTTACAACTGCAACAAGGGCAGGTGTGTCGCTACGATGGTTGCTAAGGAGAGCTGGAGATTCTCCTGCGAAGGCATCTGATTTACAAAGACAACATCAAAATATGAATACCAGGATAACGTTTGTTTTTTTTTTTTTTTAAGCCCAGTTACTGAGCTAGAGGAGTTTACTTATTAATGTACTTTTTGTATGAAAAGTGCTCTTCAAATAAAGATTGACTGATTTATCAATTGATTTATAAGTCAATAGGAGCCAGAGCGAGTTGGGGCAAAACTTTGTCCAGAGAGTTAATATTGTCCATCTATATCGAGCCCCTGGTCTCCAAGATGTCTGCCCTTTTAAGTAAAGGGCCTGTGCTCATCGGGGCATGCTCACACCATCAATGTCCCAAAAATTAGTGGAAGTGACAGCTCTGGTTCTCCTGGTCTCCCACAGTTGCTGTGCAGTGGTTCTACTTCCTCAGGACAAGAGTAACACTTGAGTATTCTGATCCATCAGCGTGCCGCAGATCAGAGCAGGACGAAAGTTGGCTGGAAGTGACTTCAGGATGTGAGGGGAAATTCCTACTTAATCTGACCTTTGTGACAGCTGCAGGTTCCTCGTCTTCACAAGAACTGCAGAAGTTACATTTACTCAGTCGCAATCTCTTCACTTGAGCTATATTTGATGTGAAGTTACAGTAGTTGAAAGCTTGTCACTTGTGTGCAGTGGCTGTGTCTGACCCCACCTCCTGAGACGTGTTCCTCATGTGCAACTCGGTTCAAAAACATGGTTAAGAATGTGCACCATGTTTTCAAAGAGGATTTTCCTCTCCCTTAAACTCTCCACAATCTTCAGTATTCACACCTGGAGCCGAGCAGGTAGTTGAAGCCGACAGTGATATTTTTGATTCTGAAGTTGTGAGTGGAAACAAGTTTCAGAGAGGCGTCGTTCTTTGCTCTGAGGTACGTGATGCCGTGGAGCCCCCTACAGACCTCTTGCTGTTGATGCGTCTGCAGGGGAAAAGTACAGTGAGGATGTTCGCTGTCTGCCACCCCCAGCTGCAGGGTCCCATTGGCCTGGCCCTCGGTGCTTTTAAAGCAGACGTACATGTGCACCACATAGGGCCCATCACAGTGTACAAAGATATGGCTCCCGTTTATTAGGTCCATCTGCTTTCTGTGTAGAACGTGCTCAAACTTCAGTGTTGAGTTTCCCAAAACATCTATAAGAAAACACAGAAAACATGGTTAAGGACGAGCTGAAGTTGGAGGCACTCTCATATACAGTAAATCGGTCTAATTGTGTGACATCAATGTACTAATGTAAAGTTTTATGCATTCTACTCTTTATTTTACATGTTCAGTTTGGAGGTCTGGACTTGGGTGATCAGTGAATGATTATGGGGAAAATATGAGCTGTGTGAAAGGCTGCTTGGGCCTATGTTTAGACATATTTATGTCTAAACATAATGCACACACATGAATAATACATGGTAGAGCAATAATACATCTTGAAACATTTTCAAACCATTAATCAAAGAAACTACATAATGTATCCGTGACTCCAGGCACAATAACATTAAAAACAAATGTAACTGTTTCTTCTTGATTTATGGTTTGGTTTGTTGCTGAACCTCAGAGACACCTGCAGCACATGTATTATATACACTTATAAGATGGAATAAAAAGTGTAAATAATGAGATGGCAACACTTGTCTCACTTTACATAGCCTATTATAACAATCAAGATATTTCATACTCAATTCTTGCTTCTTCATTATGCTCAAGGTGGAGATTGTATACTTACTTCTTTATTATGCTAAAGCTAGATATTCTATACATACTTCTTTATTGTGCTGAAGCTAGATATGTAATACTCACTTTTTTCATAATGCTTAAGCTAGATATTTCATTTTATTTTAATTTAGCAGTAATTGTTCATTTATCTTGTGTTGTGTGCATAGACTGTATAGTTGTGTGCTCCTCATTCCTACTGTTTTGAAACCGGTGAGGCAACACTGAAATATCAACCCTATGGGATAAATAAAGGATCTTTTAATATTTATATTGTTCACAAACCTGAAATTGGGAAAAACTGGATGTGCACATCATCGCGGAGTTCCTGCAAAGACACAAAAACCCGTTTTCAGGATACATTTGTTTATGAATACACTATTCACATTGAACATAGGTCAGAAGAATGCCTCTGAGGGATAGATGCATGATTGTAGAGTCCTTTGGCCCAGATCAGTGTTCAGGCATAGTTCAGGCATCAAGGCTTCAGGCATAGTGGGGTTAAGTGTCTTGCCCAAGGACACAACGACAGGAGACATCAGTGGGAGACGGTGGAGAGGGTCTTGTGGTGGGTTTGAACCCACAACCTTCAGGCTCAAAGGCCAATGCTCTATAAACTGAGCCACTGTCGCCCAAATAAGCACCTATTCTGATAATAATGACACAACCCCTCTAAGGTTCATGCCTAAAGAAGAAGTGTGTTCGTGAATGTGGTCCCATAGTGTGACAGCAGCACTCACGGGGGTCGGTGAGGAGGTCCCAGAGGTGGTCTCGGAGGAGGTCCCGGGCCGAGGGTCGTGTCTGCTCCAGTACACGCAGAGTCCAGTGAGCAAGCAGCCGCTCAGGACGAGGGTCTGCAGGGCCACGAGCAGCAGCGTCAGTCTGGATCCACGCGTGTGTTTGTGCAGCGCCGCGCAGCTCTCCACGTCCTTCCGTGACGCATCCATTGAGCGCGTGAAAGTTTGTGAGAGCCGTGTTCGCCCCACGGCCCTTTTGAACCGCGTGGGTCCGCGGGTGGCGATGACTGAAGGAAAACACCGGTCTAATGCTTGAGTGAGTGGGTGGGGGCTTTGTGATGGTCCGGAGGAGGATGGTGCTTCTGTCGGGAGTGAAACCGGACACGAGGGTGGACGACTCCTGACAGGACACACATGTGGGTTCCATGTCACAGAAAGAGCTTTCACTATACATCAGAAGGGACGTGTCCCAGATTGTTCAAGAGAAAGCGCTACCAACATAGATACAGTTCGTATACAAGGTGATCGCCCTACCCCCAACGGGATTAGGCCCAAACAGTCAAAACCAAAGCAGCAGGTTTGTGGTTTGGCATTCATGAGTTTGTTTCTGTGTAAAACTCGGAATAAACAAACAAAAGGCCACTCTCCATTTCCATCCTTATTTCTATTATGTCAAAATCAAATGGTCAAGATGCGAAGTGTGGGATATGGCCTGCACCTTTTATTGCATGTATTATGATTGTATTTGTTTTGATTATTAATGTATGTTTTCTTGTTTTAGTTTTTCTGCACATTTTACAGATTACAGATACATTATAGATCCATGGGCAGAGCGGGCAAATGGCGGCAAGTGACAAAGCAGCGAAAGGTGGCAAAGTGCACGGGCCAAAAGAAGCTGTGGGACGGGCCAGAGCGGGACCAAGAACACCCAGAGCCACTTTTAATGAGCGACTATTTATTCTGAGCCTCTGTCTGGATGCCGCTGTGGCCCGGTGAGTGGCACCAAGAGGGTCGGGAAGTCCTCCAGAGCTCAACATTCTTTATACTAAACAATCATTTTAACAGTATCCCCTCTCGGTCACAAAAGTCCTCCTCATAACTACATAACACTCTCAGTGTAAATTCTCACATGAAATGGCAATGTTGTGGAGGGTGGTTTCCATTTGATCAGTGCCAAATGAAACCAGCGCCTGAACTGTGGTCACTACAAAGGCTCCTGTAGTCAGGGGGAATCCCAGCTTTAGCAGATTGTAACACACAAACAAGGACAGATGTGGAGAAGTGGTTCTTCCTTCACCTGTAGAGCCATCTCCATCATACTATTCAACAAAGTAATAACAAATATTATCATAATATAATTCATTGTCAAAGTCCCAAATCAATTGAAAGTTTGTTCTAGTCAAGGCCCTAACCCTGGTCCTAATGATTCCATCTGAAAGTATAGTAAGCATGTCAGGAAACAGGTTTGGTGACTCCATGTTACAAAAGTACCAGATCCAAACAGGATTTATGTGACAGTTACAATCCCAAACATCAGTAATCATTATGACAAAAACACCTGTTAGCTCTCTACACAGGATAAATGTTAGTCTATGGCAGGAGCATGTAAAAGACAGAGGCAGACGCACATGTAAACTGTACTTTAATGTAGTTGTACCTGTGGACATCCGTAATGTTTCTAATGTCTCATCTGTTTCTAATGGCTCCGTTCACACACTCACACACATCCTCCATCACAGACAAGTATATACAACCTGGCACCTGCTTTCCATTGCTCAAACGGGAAAATAATTCACTATAAAGCAGATCTTTTTCAGGTTAATAATTAGTGAAATATATTTTAGAGTACGTTAAGATTTTCTCAGTATAAGATCAGAGGGCAATTCCAACATTAAAGGATACATATTATGCATTATTTGTGGTCATTTAATCACTTAAACTTGATCTTGACAATATTTATTTAGTTACTTTAGTATATGATAAACATAATGAAGTAAAAGATGTCAAGAATGTGCCAAAAACCCCATCTAGTGGAAGAAGTGCTGCTATATTTACATTGAAATCTGTAGGTTTGTTGAATTGAAAGTCCATGATGACAGCCTAAGGCAGTGGAAAGCAAACCCCCACCTGTGGGCTATAGGACATTTCTATCAGGCTCCCGAGCCCTCCTCACTTTATTTAGATATAGTATAAAATCCCTCTGTACTGCGTGCAAAGCTCTGGCGCCGCAGTCAACTCCTCGCTCTGCGACGATATACAATATAATGTGAAACCTGAGAAAAACATTGGAAATAAGGTCTGGCCCCCGACAGCAGGCTGATATTCCACTGTGGTCCTCAGCAGAAGTTTACCCATGCCTGGCCTAAGGGGTCGTCATAGTGGATGTAATTTGTATTTTTTGGATGAGGGAACAAATAATACGTTTTGCATAATATGTGTCCTCTAAAAAGGCTGAACACTTTCCCATATACTTCTGACATGTTTAGTGAACTGGGCAGCTTTAAATACATAAAAACAATACAGTGTTTTCTTTGAGGGTGATGTGGCTCCAATGTCTTTCTTCATCAATTGCCTGTGAGTCCAGTAGTGCCAAAGATACAGCAGATCTCAGCGGTAGTGCTTCGTTCAGAATAAGTCTTCAACTACTGAAATACTGAAAAAGCCATTTCCAGTGAGTTGTATAAAAACAGGTGATGTTTTGGGGTTCACCATTCACCTGGTCAATCATTTCAAATAGTTTTATAAATAGTTTGGTTAGTACTTGAATCTCATTCAGGCACTTTGTCCATTGAGTTTATGGATGAGGGAGGTTCATTCTGTCCTCTATGAGAGTATTGTCCTGCCCTGATGCCTCCATGCACTGTTTGACGGTGGTGATGATCCCGGTCAGGCGCCGGTCTAGAGCTGCCAAGTGCGATTCCACCAGAACCGGCTCAAGTGGGTCGAAGGCCAAAGCCTGACGCATCGCTGCGCTCAAAACACCGTTCCTCAACAAGTTTAGTCTATTCCATGTGGAAACTCGGATCCTGAAACATAGAATTCAAATAAGACAGTTAAAAGCTTGTTCAAAAAGACTATAGGGTATTTCGGACAATTCTGCCTGAAGTCCCACTTCTAAAAATGGAATTTTCACAAGGCACTCTAGTTTTGCTCTGGTCCTTTACTATCTTTCATTTTTTTGCTACTTGGATACATGAACAGGAGATTTACCCTTTACTGAATGATAGGGGCCATGTATAATGAGTGAAAACTTCCTTCCATCATTAAGGGCATTGAAGATTGGCTGGCTCTTTCAACATGATAATAATCCCAAACACATCGCTAATGGGCAATGAAGAAGTGGCTTCATAAGAAGCCACTAGAGTGGCCAAGGCAGTTTCCAGATCTCAACCACAAAGAAAATCTTTGTATTTAGTTGAAAGTCTCTGTTACCCAGCAACAGCCCCAAAACATCACTGCTCTAGAAGAGATCTGCATGGAGGAATGGGCCAAAATACCAGCAATGGTTGGTAAATCCCTTGTGAAGACATTTGATCACTGTCATTACCAATAAAGGGTATATAACAAAGTATTGAGATGGACTTTGGTTGTTGAATAAATATGTAACCCACATTTCATTTTAGTTTAGTTTTATTGGTTCATCATAAAGGAACCAAGCTTCCGCCACATCTGCTTGGTTCCTTTATGATGAGCGCTCCCCCACTTGACGCTCTCCTCCGCTGTACCTGTGGCATGTCATAGCTGTGGCTAGCGTTGCAAAGCTGCACAAACGTTGTTATCGGAGCGTTGTTCCCTCTATCATAAAGGTGAGCCTTTTGCCAACTGTTCGGCATCATGCAAGTTAAATATCCATGTTGTAAACCGCATGATCAGTCGTTAATCTTTGTGCAACCTTTCTGTAGACGCCACGCTTTCATGTGGGCGCATGTGGAGTACCGTCCAAGCCCACGCAATTCAAGGTACGCTGTTTACACTTTATTTTAAACAGGCCAAGCCAAATTGTAGGCAGTAAGTTAATGTGTTGAGAAATATCTTAGTTTATCGTTGTCAGTGAGGTTGTGGCTGTCGGTATTTTCTTTTGCTGTACACATTTTTGTGTTTATTATCATTTACTTTCTCCTTTTTTAATACAATACTAAACTCAAAACTCAATCAGCTGTTTTGTATCGCTCATTTCACACCTCACCACCCAGGCTCCTTCCCGAACCAGTCTTTTGAACAGTACTCAGAGTTGAATCGCAGTCACATCTGGCCTAAACAACCTGTTGTTACAAATACATTGACAAATTTACAAATACATTCTTTACAAAACCGTGATTTGTGAATTTCTGGATGTTTTTTCTGATTTTGTCACTCATAGTTGAGGGACACCTATGATGACAATTACAGGAATCTCATCTTTTTAAGTGGGAGGACTTCCACAATTGGTGGTTGACTAAACACTTTTATTGCTCCACTGTAGTACCTTTTTTTTCAAATGTAATAATACAATATTCTTGCCATTTCCCCTCACACATGCAGACAAATATCCTTTAAATTAATAATTAATATCCAAAATCATTCGTTCATTAATTTAGTGCTATTAAATATGAACTAAGAATTTGCTTTCTTGTAAAAAGTGTACCAATGTACAATTGTGTTATGGAGTAAAACGATGTTGTGAATGGATTATTAGTTATATATTTAATGATAGAGGCTGAAGGACACTCACATGCAGCACTGATACAGCGGTGCCAGGATACTCCTTTCATCCAGAGCCGCGTTCCCAAAACTGCAGAGAAAATAACAAAAAGACAAATGACTATGATGGACTTAAGTAGGAAAGTGAAGTTTGCAGCACTGCAGTTCAGAGAGGCCATCAAAATGCATCAGCCACACTGCTCCGCCACAAAGCACAAGCTTCAAATGCACTGATCCAGCTCCACTGACCCAGAAGAAGACTATCTGTCTCCCCAAGCTACAAAAAACTTTTCTGAGAGCTGATGGGCCTTCTTATGTGGCAGATGAGAGAATGCACAAGATGCATACCTGATCCTTAAAGCTGGGGTACCAAAAAGGAAGAAAACCCCCATAAATAATACACATAGATTGTCAGAACAGAAAGAGTACAAGTAAAACTAATAGGACCACATGTTTTCTTCATCTTAATAGAAAACAAACAAATAAAACAGCATACTTTGCAGCAAAAACCCTTAAAGTATCTAGAATCCAGCTATGGCCCATCTGATGTACTAAAACTACTATAGTTACAAGAACTTTTTGTGAAACCCCAACCTACAGTACCTCTTGGCGTTGTCGAGTAAGATGAGCATGCTGGCTCCTCCGTCGTCCTGGAAACTCTCGTAGTGATGGCGATCTGCGTTTCCGATCAGATAATCAAATATGGCCGTGTCGATCACATCCAGGAGTCGAGGGCCTGCGTCGTATGGAGGCATTTTCTTCACCGCATCACAGTAGCTCTCATCATACTCCCACCTGGAAGTGAAAACAACAGCAGCGTTAGAACACCAGCCTCAAGTCTCAAATCAACATGAACTCCTGTAAGTCAATTATAAGTTGTGTAAAACAAAAAACAACTATTCAAATTGTAAACAAACAAGCAAATACGCCCAGACTTCCCAGCGTGTGCTAGGTCTTTCCCTGGTCTCCTCCCGGTGCATGCAACACCTCGCCAGGGAGGAGTCAAGGAGGCACTCTTGACTGCACAAGAAACTGAATATCTTATACAGCTACTATTGAAATGATAGATTCATTTCTATTATAAAAATATGTGGGCATTTGAGCATATAATCTGTGTGCCTTGAATGAGAATGGAGGTCTCGAGGTTGTATCCTTGAGAGCTGCTCTGGTGCCCCGTCGCCTTTAACGCCAATTAACACAAACACCTTTATCAACCATCTTTACAGACATTTCACGTCAGCACATTTCTATTGGAGTTCTGTCGTCTGAAAACCATTCAGCTCAAATACGAAAGATTTCTCTGACAGGAACATTCTGCTGAAGCCACACGACAAAAACTGAGAATGAATCATGATGTGAAACTCAATTAAACTCAATCTCATTAAATCTTCCAAGTTGTTCAGAATATTCTAATACCGACATACATTTTGTAGCTTTAGACTAGGGCTGGGCGATATGGCAAAAAAGTAAAATCTCGATTTTATATCCTGCTTTGGATGATTTCAATTTTACATCGATTTTCATTAAAGTCACGAAGACAGACTTTGCCGTTAAAAATAATCAAGTTTCAAAACTATTTTTAATTTGTTTCCCCCAATACATCTTAAAAATCTTGTACAGACTGCGCTGATATTTTAAGTACCATTAATGTGCTGCTGGAACTCTCACAATATCCTTCATTCGATTTCACAATTTTCAAAATTTTCACAAATTCGATTTTTTCAAAAGACGATTAATTGCCTAAATTTGATTTATTGCCCAGCCCTACTTTAGACTATTCAAAGGCCTAAGCTTTGGGTTCATCTTTATCATGTGGTGTTTTGTGTCCCCTGCCTGATGAACAAATACAGTTAGTTGACACGGATGAATTGCTCCTAATCATTCTAAAATAATGAAAACTTCTCAAAAACAAGGCCAACAATCCCAAGTCTGTGGCAAAGTTTATACTAGCACAACACATATATTGAATGTAGCCAGACGCGTACCTGGCCAGTTTGCCCTCCCGGTAGGTTCTGCCCCAGGGGTGCCGGTGCTTCTGCAGTGGCCACACGTCCGGCAGCCAAAGGGTTAAAGAACCCTCCATGAGCTCGCCCTCCGCACAGGCTGGCTCGCTCTCCCGACAGTAGTAACATTTGCCGTAGAAACAAGTGTTATTGCCTGCAAAAACACACCTCATTTAAGTTATTCTAATAAGTAGAAATAACACAAAAAATTAACATTTTAGGCGCTAAGGATAATAAAGATTACTTACTTACAGATGTAAACAAACTGCTGCTAACATGTACATATGCTAACATCCATCTTCTTCCCCTTAATCCATTTCTGAGTCAGGGGGGTAGCAGTCAGAGCTGCACCCAGTGCTCAGAGCACCAGCCCCTCACTGATCCTCCTGCAGGTGGTGAGTCCACAGGAGCTGAGATCTTTCAGCGGGGGCTTCAGGCAAAGTGGGGTTAAGTGTCTTGCCCAAGGACACGACGACAGCAGTCATCAGTGGGAGTCGTGAAGGAGGTCTTATGGTGGGCTCGAACCCACGACTTTCAGCCTGAAGGTCAATGCTCTACCAACTGAGCCCCGATATGCTACCATAAAACTACATATTGCTTGCACTACAATACACAATACTTTATACTTGTTTCTTATTTAGCAAAATTTTGAGATTTTATACCAATTTATTATGTTAAAGATAGAGATTTTATACTTGTGTGTTTGATGCTAGAGTTAGAGATTTTATTTTATTTTAATTAGTATAGCTCTTGTTCATTTATCTAGCTGTGTGTTCCTCATTCCTATTGTTCTGTAACTTGTGATGCAACACTGAAACTTCCTCACTGTGGGACGAATAAGGGATCTCTTAATCTTAATTATAGCGTTTATTGAGCAGTATTGCATTTGTCGCTGTCTGAAACTTTCACTGAGTGAAATTGAAATGAGTCATATGACTAAGAGATGGCTAATGGCAGGAAGGATCAGCAATAATAAACCTGCCATTTACCAAGTGTGACATTTGGAGCTTTTACGTTATGACCACAAGAGTCAGGCTTTCAGAAACAGAAGTATTAAATGTTAGATTTGAATGTCTAATATAATGAGTCATTACAATAAGTTTGATGAGCTCCACCGGAAACTGGCAAAGGTTCACCTGCGCACCAGCACACCAGGCAGCTGAACAATTCTTTGAAACACGTTTTCCAACACAGCTGTTAGAGGAAGTTTTGATCCTGACCTCTAATTAAGGAGATTCAGTGAAATAAGCATCCGGGATTTTAGATTCTCACCTTCGCTCACTGAGCCAGGCAGATCCAGCGGCTCGCGGGTCTACGGCTGCTGTGAAATGCGCACTCCTGAACGCTAGATCTATTGTGAACAAGACATTTATTCGGACTTTTTCACGTCGCAGTCATTGGATCTTCTGTTTCTGGTTAAGACGTGGGTCAACACCAGTGAGTCAGCGGCTTTCTTTGAGCCACCGGCCGCGGTGGTGGCATAGCTAGAACTGCCTCTACCACATGATCTTATCCCCGGAGCCTGTTTCTTCTTTTGAACTGTGTCAGACTGAGCCTGTGTTGTGTGCTGTCATGTACAGATCACCAAAACACAACAAAGACTTCATAAATGACTCTGATTCTATTGCTGTTATGCCAAAGCATTATGAAAAGATGTTACTGGTTGGGGATTTTAATGAGCATGTTTGTTGACCTTCAAAGCCCTTGGCCCAAGAGTTTAATTTGGTTGATACTTTTAATTTGACTCAACATGTGAGTGGCCCCACGCAAATACATGGCCACACGTTAGACCTTGTGCTGTCTCATGGCTTTTCTGGTGTCGATATATATGTTGGGGATGCAGTATTTTCTGACCACAGTCCTGTTCTTTTTAGTCTAATGTTGCACAATGAATATGTCCAATACTCATGATTCATGATATGTCCAATGCATTAGAGACCTTTTCAACTGTACTCAATGCAGCAGTAGACCTACAGTATTTTCGAAACCTCTCCATGGACTCTGAGGAATTTATGGAGTCATTCATTGCCACCTGTAGTAATGTCTTGAACAATGTTGCTCCCTCCAAAGCTGTGCGTCCAAGGCCCAAACGAGAGCCATGGCTCAATGAGTTAATACGCACTGCGAGGAGTGTTGCAGAGCTGAGCGACGGCGAGTCCCCCAGGGCTTAATTCTTGGCCCTTTGCTTTTGCCCTGTACCTCCTCCCACTTAGTGACATTTAAAAAAAATATGGCATGTCTTATCACTTTTATGCTGAGGATCCACAACAGAAAAACCCGGAGAGAGCGAAAAGTCACAAGAGGCCCGGCTTTTCAGAGTCAGCGGTAAAGAGGTCCGCACATTAAAAGCGGGTCGCTTTTATGCTGCTCCTTACGGTAACGTTGGAAAGAGAAGCCTCGGGGATGAGCCGCCACAATGCACTTTCTAAGTCACAGCAGAAAGCGGCCACCTGCTTTTAATGTGCAGGCCTCTTCACCGCCGACTCCAAAAAGCCGGGTCTCTTTACCGCGGTCGGAGAACAGTGAAGGCGAGCCGCAAGAAATGCGCTCCACCTCTGCTAAGCAGAGAGCCCACCAAGCCCATCACTTGCATCACTACGGGAGTAAAAATACAATATAAAGGGTTACTCCGAATCAAGGAAATATGTGCTCATTTCATACGACGGGAAGGGCTGTAGAGGTAGGGGGTCGCGGGGGAGCAGCGCATTTATCATGGGGGTCGCAGGCTAAAAAGTTTGGGAACCCCTGGTTTAAGTGACGTCAAGAATTGGTTGGCCCAAAATTTTTTTTAATTAAATGAGGTCATTTTGATTGGCCCTTGCGTCCCCCTCATTAAATGGGGCCCATAAAAGATCATGTGCACTCCACAGTCACCAACCTTGGCGTCATCAAATTAATCGTGTTTTAAAATCAAACTTTTATCATTTGCGACTTTTATCTTAAGTAAAACCTTTTTTATCTTTTAATCTTTTTGAGCAGGTCATGCACGCTTTCATTTCTTTACGCAGGCACTATTGCAATGCACTTTATGTGGGCACACCCGAAACGCACTTTCCCGTCTACAGTTGGTTCAAAACTCACAACTTTGGACAGGAAGCAGAAGGTGCGATCACATCACACCAATTCTGTCATTGTTGCACTGGCTTCCTGTTCATTTTAGAATCAATTTGAAGATCTTACTGTTTGTCTTTAGACATTTGAATGGACTGGCCCCACAGTACATCTTACCACCCGCCCTGTGTGCTGAGGTCCAGCTTGTGGTACCTAGGACGAGACTTAAAACTCATGGGGAAGGGTCTTCTCTGTGGCTGTACCAAAGATGCAAAACCCCCATTCAAAGTGCTCCTTCTGTGGACCCATTTTTAACACCAATTGTTTTGCTCTGGCTTTTAACACTGCGTGAGTTGCATGTCCTTTTATTTTATATATATTTTTTTTACTGTTATTTTTATATTTGTGAGGATTAGATAGCTATATGGCCTACGTGCAGGACAACTGCAAGAGTGTACAAGGACTCTGATTGTGTATCCATGTTATGACTATGATGTGCTCTGACTGTATGAATGACTGTCTGTCTGTATGACACCTATGTCTTTCGATGTGTGACGTAACAAGGACTATAAAAGCATGTCTCGACTTTTGTTCTGTCTGAAAAAACCAACTGAAAAACCTGAACCAACTGAATTGAAAGAACTGAATCAACTGCCATTTTTGTATGAATAAACAACCACGCCATGATGCACAAGATCCCAGTATGTCTGAGTCTTATTGTTCACTAGGCTTAGTCTGAGTAGTGACGTCACCTGTAAACTGTGCTCTTGAACACTGACCTTGCATGAGGAAGGTGCTGAGCAGCTGGTCTGTGGCCACAGGTTTGATCTCTGTTCGCAGGTTCACAAAGCGTCCCACGACCAGAGGCGCTCTTCTGAAGCCCAGAATTCTACAGCACATAATAATTCTGCATTTTATTTGCATTTCATTTTACATTTGACACCAAAGAATAAAAGCATTTCTTTATGTTTGAAGCATTTCAGGCTTCAAACATAAAGATATAAAATATATTTTTTTTTTTCATGAATCAACAACAAGTGGGACACAATCGTGAAGTGGAACGAAATTTATTGGATAATTTAAACTAACTAAACCAGAAGTTCAGTGAGGATCTTTGAATCATCCAATGTTGTCCTAAATGACTGATGATGATAAATAGAATGCACCTGTGTGTAATCAAGTCTCCGTATAAATGCACCTGCTCTTTGATAGTCTCAGGGTTCTGTTTAAAGTGCAGAGAGAACCATGAAGACAAAGGAACATACCAGGCAGGTCCGAGATACTGTTGTGGAGAAGTTTAAAGCCGGATTTGGATACAAGAAGATTTCCCAAGCTTTAAACATCTCAAGGAGCACTGTGCAAGCAATTATATTGAAATGGAAGGAGTATCAGACCACTGCAAATGTACCAAGACCCGGCCGTCCCTCCAAACTTTCATATCAAACAAGGAGAAGACTGATCAGAGATGCAGCCAAGAGGCCCATGATCACTCTGGCTGAACTGCAGATAACTACAGCTGAGGTGGGAGAGTCTGTCCATAGGACAACAATCAGTTGTGTACTGCACAAATCTGGCCTTTATGGAAGAGTGGCAAGAAGAAAGCCATTTCTCAAAGATATCCATAAAAAGTCTCGTTTAAAGTTTGCCACAAGCCACCTGGGAGACACACCAAACATGTGGAAGAAGGTGCTCTGGTCAGATGAAACCAAAATCGAACTTTTTGGCCACAATGCAAAACTATATGTTTGGCGTAAAAGCAACACAGCTCATCACCCTGAACACACCATCCCCACTGTCAAACATGGTGGTGGCAGCATCATGCTTTGGGCCTGCTTTTCTTCAGCAGGGACAGGGAAGATGGCTAAAATTGATGGGAAGATGGATGGAGCCAAATACAGGACCATTCTGGAAGAAAACCTGTTTGAGTCTGCAAAAGACCTGAGACTGGTCCCATCAAAAAAGACAGAACTGCTTCTCTGCCCTTGTTATGGTTTTCTTACAGAACAGGGATAACCACACTTTATCAAACCAAGATTTACTTTTACAGCAACCATTGAGCCGTGATCTACTTTGGATTATCATTTTGAATATGACATTTGGTTCATGATCCAGATGTGACTCATAATCGAGTAATGATCATGTTGTCTTTATTCAAATGTCATTGGCAGGAAAGAAAGAAATACTTAAATGATCAGTTTGTAGATGGTACAAAGAACACATAGATCTGTCATGAAATGTACAGTGTGTTCTTGTGTAGTGTGGCTCATATTGGAAATGTCATAACAGCTAAGTGTCATTTTATATATAATCTATTACTGTCTACTTTGACTGTGCACGCGCTCGTGGGCACTTTCAGTCCAATGACCCACGCGTATTCTGCCACAGAGACCATGAGGACGAACACTCTGGCCTGTCCTGTCCTCGAAACTTCTCCAAAGGCTTCATCCTCACCTTTGTGTTTGCGCAACGCCGTTAAAATGGATTTGTTATTAACTGACTGCACTAATAAAAACCCTGACACAATAGTAATAATTAGCACTACCACTTTAATTGTAATACATAGCCTGAATTGTGACATTTCTACTGAGAAATAGAAAACAACATTTAATATACCGATCTAGGTGAAAAGCCGCCACCTCTGCGTTGTGTCTGTCGTAACCAGCATACGGCTCTCCCTCCACCACGTAGTCTCGATTGTACCTGAGAAATACAAACAAGACAATTCAAACAAGACAGACTGGAATTTCAAGCTTTGGCTTCACTTCAGACAATAACAAATTACACAAGTTTCAGGGCAGTTCTCATTAGTTGAAATCACTTGTGTTACATTGACTTAAATGTATCTGAGAATCCATCAGAAATTAATGGAATATATAAATATTTCAAGTTAACCTCTTATCTACATTTTAAAATCTGAACCATCACATTTGATATTCTACTAATTACAATTAACATGTATTGTTTACATAGACAATAGAGTTTCATTGCTCAATGGTAAACAATCACCTCTTGGGTTTGAATACCACTTTCTGCCCCCCGTCGAGGACCAGCAGAGCCTTGAGCTGCGTACCCTTGTAGCCCACGTCTGCGCGCTCGATACGGGCCGCGCTAAGCGCTGTGAGCACCGCTGCTAGTTCAGGGGTCTCCTCCGGGTAGACCTCTCGGGGACCCACCCACTGCCCAGCGATTTCCCACGGCGACTGCAGGGTGTGAGTGAGCCGTGCCCCCCGCGACAGAGACAGGCCCGCTTCCATCTGCGGACCATACACAAATATGAACTCAACATGCATCATTTGTTGTTCTCTGACTACAATAATGAACAAATATCAAAACAGTGGCTCAGTGGGATTCGAGTTTGTGTTTGTCATTCTACTTCCCTCCTAAAACAAGGACTATTCTAAAAGGGTAAAAAACAATGGTGGTTGTGTCTTTTCCCAGTTTGCATTACCATCGCACTTTACCCAGGTTCTCATCTAAAAGTTACTAAAGTAAAAATTACTTGAATCTCTAGCTAAATGAACCCAAGTATTAGTTTACGACTGGACAAGGAAATCAAGCTGTACTCCTTAATCTAAAATAAAATTCTTGGAATGAGCGACTACCTTGACTTTTCAGCCTTGTCCTTTACTCTACTTTCTAATCTGTACTTTTTCTTAGTTTTTCTTCACAAGTTGCCTAAGGACACACCAAAAGTAAAGCACTTCAGAGCCTCATGTGTCTCTTTGTTGGATTTGCTGCAGTCTTTAGTGATCATCAAATCCTTTCGATACATCCCTCACCTCTAGTTTTCACCACACGCACACACATAAGGCGCATATATTTTCAGTCTGACCTTGCGAAACGCCCGGAGGTCCCGGCGGCTGGCTGCGGAGCCCTCGCCTCCGTCCAGCAGGAAGATCTTGGCGAGGCCCAGGAGCAGCAGCACGGCACACAACACCACCATGCGCTGTTTGAGCTTCATGTCCTCGATGCCACCTCCACACGCACCCTTCACCCCACGGTCATGTCTCTGGACCGGCCCTGCTGCCCTCCGTCTGCAGCAGACCAAAAGTCACATCAGGTATTAGGAATGGAAGACCTCACAAGATTGTATTATAAAATGTTTTTTCCATGGTTAGAAGAAGGGTTAAATACTGGAGTATTTATATTTTGTGAAGCCATAATCCTATAAAGCAGTGCTCCTACATTAGAGATTTCTTGTGGATCCAGTCTCATGTGTAATGTACTAATTATGCCTTAAATTATGTCTTATCAGATATAATTGTTTGGAAAAAAATATTCTTTTATTTGTAAGTTAAAACAATAATACATTAAAAACCCGAACAACAATAATGTGATAAACAAAGAACATAGGAAAACAAAACAAACAAAAATTAATACACCAGGAAATGCTGCATAAAAAAGGTTTTTTTTAGCTTTTGAATAGGCTTGAGTCATCCTTCTAATGAGACAAACTGCATAGACTAGACCAAAACATGTGAGGTAATTAAGCAGTCCTTACGCAATTTGTCTCAGTTGCCTGGCCCGACCACATGCTTTTACTTTACCGATGGGCGTGAATGACAGACGAAATCAACCGATAAAAAACAGTGGATGTGACAGACGAAAGAGCAGAAGAAAACAGTGGATAAGTCACAGCGTCCGGCATCTTTAATGTTGTGGAAAAGTAATGAGTTAGCTTCTGTGTTTTGCAGAAATCCTGCCTCTCGTCTTTTTGGAGTAGATAGGTCGATCAAGTGATATAACTGGCTGTGATCTGCCACCCAGAGGGTTGCTCTTTTGAGGAGGAGCCTCTTGCTGACCAAGCTCGGATCACTCAAGCCTTGGTTGTCTTGTGGTGTGAAAATCCCAAGCTTATTCATTGGGATCTCATTTGAATGTTAAATGCTTGTCTTCCCGTCAACTGACGCCTCTCTGTCGAGGCCTCTCAACAGGAAAAGAAAAGAGTCGGACGGAGGGCTATCCAGGAGTTTAGCAGCGACACAGATGAGAATCAATCATTTGCAGGTCAGAAAACAGATTGATTTGCCGCCTCTATGGTTCATTTCCCCTTGGGGCAGACAATGACCCAGTATCAACACAGATGAGGCCTAACCTACATTGGAGAATATACATGTGTAGTTCATAAAGAAATCTGATAGAATTACGCAACACATTTCTTTACAGACACTGGACAAAAAAGTTACAACATACTACTATCAACAGTTTTTGTATTTTGTTTGTTCATGCATTTTCTTCTGCTTTATCTGTTGCCGAGTCGCAGGACAGCAGTCTAAGCAGAGATGATCAGACTTCACTATCCACACTCATCACCTCCATCTGTTTTGGGGGAATCCTGAGACATTCCTCTGTGTCATAGTCCCTCGAGTGTGGAATCCCCAGGTAAGCGTCCAAGAGGCCTCTGAAACTGTTGGCAGAACTGGCTCCTCTCAACAGTAGGAACTCTACTCCGAGCTCCTTCTCTCAGCTACTCTACATTTCGATCGCTCGTATCTTGTCCTTTGGACCATAAGTGAGGGAGGGGATGTAGATTGACCGGTAAATCAGTATTCACCACAACAGAACAATACAGCAACTACATCACTGCACTGATTCGCCTGTCAATGTAAAGCTCCATCCATCCATCCATTGATCACAAGGGAAGAAGACCCCAAGCTACTTGAACTTGAGGAATGGCCTCATTTCCGGTCGAGCACCTTGGCCTTGGATTTGGAAGTGCTAATTGTCATCCTAGTTTTGTCTCTTTGGACTCAGGTAACTCCAGAAGCAAATACATCTGTAGCTACTCAGGTACAGATGTGTTTCAGAAGAGATAAACTGGTGTCTGTGACTAGTGGCTGTAAAATTATCACTTGGGGGTAATGCATTAATTACCCTCAAGTGAACCCCAAGACTGATTCACACCCCCCAAGACCATTTCTACAGCACATACTGTATATAGTGAAAAACCAATTTAAAAAAACGTCTCTGTAATAAACTATAGTTTAGAAGCTGATGAATAAACAGGACATTCAAATCTATAGTTACTGCAAACTGGCATCTACACAAACTGGACATTCTTGTCATGCAAAGTCCAGCATGTGCTGATTTAGGGCCAGATAAGGCTTGAAACCCCTAACGGTGCGAATTATGATTATTATAATAGTCTCTTTTTAGACTCAGTCTTTCATGATAAGACGACATCGTGTTATTTATTATACAGTGCAATTATGACAAGTGCCACGTTTTACACAACCCAGTCTCCAGCCTCTCCATGCTTAAACAAATGTTTGCATAAAAGGCAACGAAATATCTGTTTGGTTCATTTAAGCCAAGAGAGATGAGGAGAGCCACGCAGGCAAGCACATACAATCACTCTTTTATCAGCGTAGCATTTGCTATTTATACCGGTGTAGTAAAACATCAATAAAACATACGCTTATTTTGGAACAGATACGTACTATTCCAGTTTGAGTAAATAAATGTATTGCTATGAATGCCAATGCACACTGGTTGAAGTAGTTGTTGTACTAAGCATAGACAAACACCTTGCAGGTTAGCTAACTTAAAGCTAGCTTCTGTGTGTCGTGGTAATGTTTACTGGTGATTACTACCTTACCTTACGCAGCCACGCGTGCAAACCTCTCCCAGAGCCTGGTCCAAGTTTCTGTCCAAGTTGCAGGATGTGAATAATGTTGATATTTTGCCTATCTGCCGTGGGGCACAATGGTTCGTCAGTTTGCTGTCCAATATCAGCCTCTTTCCTCCGCCCTGTGTCCGCGCGCACTTCCCAAACACCCGCTGCACGTGCGCCCAGCAGCCTGCAGGGGGCGCACTGGAGCCGTGTGGTCAATGTGAGAGAGGAGAGTTTGACCAGAAAATAAAAACTATTATTTTGTGGACTACTGATTTTGTTTGAACCTCGCTCACATCGCTCACCGTGACTTATTACTTTAATGTTTTAATCATTCTTCACTGTTGTCACGTTGTTTGTTGTTTTTCTTACAGAGCAGTAGAAATATTAGCACTCAAACAAAACAATACAGATGATATAATACAGTAAACAATATAAATGTCAATTATTATAGATTGTGGATAGATTTTAGATGCACACAGAGACGTTTAACATAAAATTGAAAAAAAATTAGCGGGCCATAGAATTTAATAAAATAGCCCCTGAATTACTTTAAAAAATAAGAACAAAGTTAAATAACAATGAAAACAAATATTTAGTGATAGTGGATTGCCAGAGTGGACACAGGGCTGTAGACATCTCAAAAATACTTATTTACACTTTTGTCTAATAATTTATATCCAGTTGGTTTTATGTAGCCTATGATGGCATTTTTGTAAAGCTAAATGTTTGTCTCATGAAAATAATGCTATGACATAACAAATCATCAGTTCTTAATGAGCCCATCACCAGTGAAACAATGAATAAACCTTATACTTGTTCAATATTGTGTCTACGCTCCATTTAAATTAAAAAGTCTTTGCTACACATGTTGTAGATGGACTGCACTCTTTTCCAGACCAGAGGGAAGATGTCCTGAAAACAAAAAAAATCACAAATTGATCCATGGCAGTCTTATAGTAGCCGACCTTCAGATGACACACGCTTGACCATCGGAACACCTCTGGCCCTCAAAACTAAAACCTTTTCAAAAAGATTCAACCAAAAATCTAATATTTTGCAAATGTAGCCTTAGCAAATCTTGTTTTTAACACATCTACAATAATCAATCAAGATAAAAGGACTTATTGACTTACACTTATAAACTCTTATCTTAAAATGTTCCAGCATTGCCTCAACCCTTCCCCAAAACCCTTCTACAGAGACAAAAGCAAGGGACACAGATGTGTGGAGTAAAAAAGGCAGAGTGTTTATTGGTTTCTCAGTCTCCAAACAGCGCATCACTCAGGTCTGAGGTCACAGCGCCACAGTCACATCAGAGGGCGCCAGACAACGGGCATTCACTCCTAAAACTAAAAATGATCCGTGGATGCATGTGCTTTGTAAACAGTGACACACGGAGCTCTCTGCAGTCTCCAAACCAAGACTCAAATGCAATACAGATGGGATTGTGCTTTTTCTTTCGGTCAAAATGTCAGAACTCATTAGAGACCAGGGAAGTTTGAGGATGACGTGTTCTGGGTAAGATCACACCAGTCTGACATGACATGAAATGGTTAACACTGAAAAAAGCAACAACAAAAAAGTATAAGTTAATATATGCTTGAATTGAGTTGTTTCTATAAGTGTGACTTGCAACCAGATTTGCCGGCAGAATCACAAGCACAAGAATTGTTTTACAGAAACAGACAAAGCAGTTTCTTACTTGAAATGAGAAATAAAAGTAAGTAATGTTTATTCATATAGTGCATCTTACGGACCAAGGCCACCCAAACCGCTTTATTATGTTCAGAGTTCAGATATTTGCGTTTGATAGACTAAGCTGATTGTTCAAATCCAATTCAATTCAAGCACTTTTAACTTATTAGTAACTTTTTGCAGTAGAGTGACAAAAACATCAACACCGATCATTATTTGAATTGACATAAACCACGTCACACCATATTAGGCCATATTATTTCCAGTATTTGAAAACAATGGGATACATTGAATGAAGCTAAACATAAAAAACAGTTATCTGAACACGACTGAGACTGGACAGAATGTAATCAATTGGAAACTTTAGAAATGAAAAAATATCCACAGCATTCTGAAATAATTTATCCATTTCATTTTCCAATAAGTGTAGACCGGTGTCCACCCAAAGTCAAACTGCAACAAATCATAGACCTTTGATTATTTTGAACATAGATTTGACATCTATATGACCATTCTGACACACTCAAACCATACAAAATGCATATCTTTTTCTGAACCAGCATAACAGTACACCATAAGTAAACTGGAGAGATAGGAAACCAGAGAGCCTTGGAACGTTCTCAGTCATGGATCTGACTTAAACGTGAAAGTCTAAAAAAGAAGAAGAAAACTCTGGACATTTTCAAACACACAAATTCAAACTTGCTTTGAGGATCACCTGCAATTCTGTCCATCTTTGGCTTTCCCCATTCCTACCATAGAAGAGGCATCAAGTCCATTATTTTGATTGAAAAGTACACGTGTTCCGTTCATTTAAGGAAGAAATTTACTTTAAATTGTCGATCAATTTGTGAATTGTCTTGGCAAATTCTTACCTCATATCCAAAAAGTTGGGACGCTGTATGAAATGTATGATAACACTACCTTCACTTATATATATATTGTAATTGATACATTGAATGAGAAAAAAGTTAATTCTAGTATTCAGCATCCCAACTTTTTAGAGAACAAGAAATTTATTTACAATTTAAACTGGCAGCAAAAAAAGACAGGGAAACAAAATACAAATGCAATACTTTCCTATAGATTCGAAACAGTTGAAATACATGTTGGGAAAGTGGTTCTGTAAACACACATTGTAAACAAATATTTTCTTTTTGCTCAACAAAACATTAGATTGCCAGTCATCTTAATTGGAATATCATTTGTCTGTAATTGACACGACTATTTGCCACTGAGATAACCGTTCGTGTTGGTTGCCCATAGGTCGTTCTATCATTTCTGCACTGCCTCTCATCTCTACTTTTCATCATTTGGCACCATCTTATTCCAAGGTGCTTATGCCATCATTTGAATGCATTTAGGATATATATATATAACGGAAACACAAAAACAAATCTAAAAATACATAAAATACTCCAACGCAAAACAAATGTAACAGACGTGCAATTTCCTACCACAATGTAATACTGTGAACTGCACGGTTTCTCCCAAATCAAGACCAAAAAAAACCCTAATAGCACAAAACGTCATAAATTATTTAAAAGTACATGGCTCCGAGTTGATCTGAGGAAAAAAAAAACGTCCCTAAAGCAAAAAAACAAAACAGTTTGACGCATGTTTATCTAATCTGGATTTTTTTTTTCACAGTTTCAATTTTGTAGTGTTTATTGTGTGCGAGTTTGTGTTGGACCAAAGTGACAACAACCTAACGGAAAACTACTGAGCATCGCAAAATAGCAGAGGAAGTAACAAAAACACTTGTCTTTAGCTTAGACTTCTGGGTTCGACCGTACCTGCAAGCCAGATATAGCTATAAATGTAACAATGTTTTAGACCCCCGCCGTCCGTTTTCTTTGCATCCAAGCAGTTATTACAAAGACATACAAACATACAAACCGTTGGGTTACAAAGAGACACATTCAGGAAGTGACAAAATGCTGGATTTGATTGCTATATAGAGCCCTTAATATGTTTATAAGTACGCAATCAAAACAGGGAGTGCAAGAGTGTTAAATAGTATCGTGAATCCCAAAGTTAACACAAGTGAAAGGTATAAAAAGTTTTGAAACCTCATCGATGCATCGCCGACTCCATAAAGTCCTCTATTCAAGCTTGTTGTGGGGTGATAATTAAAATACTTAAAAAAAGGAGGATTGTTTTTTGTACATCTTTTTGTTGTGAAAATGGCTCTTCCGAAGTGCTAAATGGCAAAAATAATGAGACACACACACACATACGAGGTGGTTGACAGGAGCAGTGGTGTGCGTCCTTGTTCAGTAGTCAATATTACAAGCCAGAGTAGTGTCGCCGTAAGTACCACGCACACACAAGCGGAGGTTTTAAGGCAGTGGTGGAGAGAGAGAGAGAGAGAGAGGGAGACGGGATACTTTGGCGTTCAGGGCTCATGGCAGTGACGGCGCCCTCCCCCATCTGCGACAATACTGTTCCTGCTTATTGTAGCGTCGACGTCATCACTTTGTGGCTCACTCAAAGGACATCAGATTGGCTGGTACCTGGAGGAAGAGTCAAAAATGTCAGAGTGTGTGATGGTAAAGCTAGTTATAGATAAGTTATATCTGGCGGCACGGTGGCTGAGTGGATAGCAAGAACGTCCCAGGTTCAAAACCCGGTCGGAACAGGGTCTTTCTGAGTGGAGTTTGCATGTTCTACTTGTGTCTGCGTGGTTTCCTGCGGGTGCTAGTTTCTCCTACCACTAAAAACATGTTCAATAGGTATGAATGTAATGAGAGTGTGAATGGATGATGATTGCAGTGTCCTTCAAAGCCATCTCGCTTCTGTCATCACAGTGGGGAGAGAATTGAACAATATCTGAACTCTCAACATTTTAAAGCGCTTTGGGTGACCTTGGTCTGTAAAATGCACTATATATAAAAAAAAATACTTAACTACTTACTTACTTACTTAATTACTACAAGGTTTGTCAAGTTAAAATTTATATATAAATGTTTTTATTGTAAAGATGAATTACTGATGCCTTCTGCAGAAAGAGCGAGAGGCGTAGGGTCGAAGAATGTTGTGTGTTTGAGCTAAATAAGCGTTGGCATCATCTGATCTCTTTCTCAAATCATGCATTTCTAATTATCTGTATTTTTACTTTATTTTGTAGGACGTTTGAAAGTGTTCCAATTTTCCAACCATTTTAAAAAACAGCTTCTGAGATAGAAATAATCATCCGCATCAAGAAAATTCAACTGTTTTCACTTCATTCATATGCACTCAACTGATCCCAGAGGAGAGCGTTATCCCGACCCTGGTGTCCCGATGCATTTGTATTCATACATTTATCCGCAAAACCTTCATGTCATTTCACATTTTGCGTTAGAGTGGAAGCGTCGCAGCCTCTTACCTGTTGCCTGTTGCTCTGGCAGGCGGCGCTCAGATGCTTGAACCAGAGTAAAGCGTTCATTCGATTCCCTGCTTGGTACTTGTATGTGTTTCCTAAGCAACAGAGACAAAAGCAACGTCAGCGCCAACATCTTTTCACTTGTTTTTCCTAAATCTCTGGAAACTCTCGCTTGACTTTGGCTCTGTGAACGGTTTCTTGAGGAGCCAAAGCTGAAACTGGAGAGGGTGCAGAAACGACTCGCATGCGTCTGTCTGAGCGAGCGGACTGGATTTACATGTGGACTCAAGCGAGCAACGACCCACTCTGGAAATGATCGGTCTCAAATATTGCACTATTTTTTCCTTTTAGCTTTTCCATTTTGCTTCATAGGAAAACACTTGATTAAGCTCTGCTCCTTGCCAGATGCCCTCCTGTGATATAATAAATAGTAAATCCAACCGAAAACGTAATATTTTGTCAGTTGGTCTTCCGCTTAAAGGTAGAATTTCATTGACAAACTTTGGAAAGACCTTGTTAAAATCTATTGGCAACTTCTAAGAGCTTTTAAGACCAGAAAATATTGGACATACTCACACAATTCTCATTAAATAACACGCTACAGTGGAATGCAGTGAGAGATCATAATAAAGCTGGTGTGCCTAACTTATTCTGTTTGTCCCAACAGAAAGTCTTTTTAATTAATATTTTGTGAACAAATCAGACCATACCGTCTTATGTTTTAGATCCTGAGAATTAGCTCTCAGATGTGACAGAGGCAAACAAAATAGCGATAGAACATTAACAGAACTATCTCTCAAACCAACTATGGATTTTGTTACACAGTGCTTTTTTGTGGTTTCAAAGTAAGATACTCCGACTTTAAGTTAAAAACGTCAATAAAACACTTTTAGGTCCCTGCCGAAACTAGGAGTTGGGGGAGCTTGTAAATCATTAATGAATGTTGAGATAGAGTCTAAAACACTCCACACACAGAGAGTGAATCTTACCGTGCTCGGAGTCAGTGAGCATAAAGATATCGGGATGTTCGGGGTCATCTGCCATCATGGCGAGGAGCCCCACCACACACACGCTCTTACAGGACATAGACTTAAACTGGGAACAGGACACAATCATTATTCACCACTCGCCTTCTTTCCTGTTGGAGATTTGACTGAGCATGCTTCATTTGAGATGCAGAAACGGAAGATGGAAGATTGTGAACTTGAGTGTGTGTGCTTCAGCAAATGGATGTGATTATCGTCAGAGTGATACACGGGACACGCTGATGTCATCGGGATCATTATTGAGCGAGCGTGGGGCCAAAAGCTTCCTGTTCCCCGCACGTCAGGGGTGTGTTTCCTAAGGGCATCGCACCTAAAAGACCTCAGTAACATAAGAACTCACTTAACGAACCAGAATAGTACAGTCTACAAAATTATCCCTTTCACTTTACTTTGATAATCGTCATTGTTAGCGGGACACTCCAAAACATGTGGCAAAAGACATGTTTGTGTTTTATCAAGAAAACACTTCATCTAGATTAGCAGCAGCACAAGACTAATGTCCATTGTCATAACTTGCATGAATGGAGTGAGACGGGCGTGTAAAGTGCACTAGTAATGCTTCATGTAGTCACCAATGTGTAAACCACAGAAAATGTTATGGCAAACCTCTGTTTTGCTTAGAGCTAATGTAGTAATTAAAGTTTATTTTGTGGTTTTAAGGTACGGTAGTCTGTAATAATGACTACTCCTGAGGAAGTCCACATAAAGCTGATCTTTAAGTTGACAAATAAACTCAAAACCAAATCTCGTGTAACTTACATGTTTTCTTTCTGTGGCCTTCAGGGACTTGGCAGCGTAGTAGTAAAGCTGAGTACTACACAGAGCCACCCAGTATTTGGTCCAAGATGCCACCTAGACACACAGCACAAAGAAACTATAAATAACCAATTGGGGCAGCATGCCTCAAGTAACATTGTTACAGCGATCCAATTTTAAATACATTTTACATAAAATAGCATTGTGTTTAGAATGCAAATATCAAATACATTTGAAAAAACACAAAGCATTTAGCCAATACACAAATACCACATGTTTCAGAATAAAGTTTTACAGCAAGAACAAGTAGAAAAATATTCCACTATAGTGACATCACTGCTGAGACACTTTTTTACTTTGAATCAGATTTAAAAAAAACTTGAAATGGGGTTCAAGATACTAGTTCCAATTTTAAGCCATCATACAATCAGTTTAAGAAAATGTTTCCTTGTTTGAGCGGTAATGAGCAAATGTTTTGCCTTTTATTTTTGCAAAGGACTCTCAATTGCAACCACTAGAACTAGTCTGTTTCAGATCAGCGCTAAAGTAATATTCAAAATACTTTTCAAAATAAAAAATGTAATGTTCTGTTATCTATCCAATTGTGTTATGTCCAAAAAAGTAAATAAAAAAACATAAAACTTGAATTGTTGGCTGTATTTAAGTTTGAGCAGATGCAGTGAGTGCACAGGTGGACGGAGCTCACGGTGGGTTTCTTGCCCTCCTTCAGCACAGTCTTCCTCCTCAGAACGCCTTGAACGGTGACCGCCCCAGGATACAAGTGCACTGCAAGCTCCTCAGACTCTGCTGAGCTGCAAAAACAGAGAAAAAAATGTTTTAATAATGCAAGGGATTCTGTATATACATGTGTGTATGTTGGATCTGAAAGTTACAAAAGAACATGAAAGATATGCAGAACAAATAAGAAAAAGGCTTAAGAGCGCTTTGACGTCTGTCACTAGTCCCATTTTCTCTAGAAATAGAGAAAGATGTGAGAAGTGTCATTTCAAAGACACATTAATATGGCCCAAAACCTTGAACTAAATTGTAACTGAACTATACTGTAGCTATACCACATTTTAACATTTTTCGCTTTCTCCTGTGCTGTACATTTCAGAATGAATGCCAAATGCCATTAGTTGAAAATGCAGATAAAATCCACAAAGCTGCTGTAAAAATGTTGCCTTTTGTACGTTTCCAAATGTCCAATTTTACAGATATAAATCTCTCCGGTTATACGAGCATAAAATGGAGCAGGAATGAACAAGATGGTGAGCAGATTGCGTCTGTGCTGTGAAGGAAGTTCAGAGCAAGAGCAGGAAAAGTCGGCTGGAAAAAGACAGATTTAAAATCCACTAAAAAGAAAGAAAAAACACTGTGCAACTACAATGAAAGCAATGAGGAAGGCGAGCTAATGAGCAGTTCAAAAGCCTGTCCCAGTGAAATGCTAAACCAAACAAGTATTTAGACACTTACACATTCAGTAATTGTACAATAAAAGTGAAAAGATTTACATTTATTGATAATAATTGAAAGTTTAAGTGTGACAATCAGCAGTACACTGTCAGACAGCTCTATAATTTTAACACCATATTCCAATTCCTCTGATAATTTCAAGCCTGCTTATATACTTCAACTTGTCATGAGGAATAAAACATGCAGTGAATCAAAGAGACGGAAAGAGGTTGCAACAGATCATTGAAATGTTCAGCAAAAAAACACCACCTGAAATCATCCCAAGATACAAAGGTTAAAGTCTCACAGAAAGGCACATGAGGCAGACAGTGACCCCTAGTGCATAGAAGATGTAAGGACAGGTTTGGTTCAGCCCGTTTTGTACCTGCTGGGCCTCAGGACGCCTCTGTAGGGGATTCGGGCCACTCGGGTCACTGGGCCCAGAGAGTGGTAGAAGCGCGTCCTGTTCACAGTGGGATAAGACAGGGTTGGACAGGGACACTGGTAAAACTGTGTGGGGTTTTAAATACGTGGGTTTGGGAGGAGGTCTGGAGGAATGAAGAGTGGCATTTTTTTGAAGGTTAGTCAGTCATCATCAACAGCTGGGTTTTTGTCACATAAGTGAAAAATATCACGATGAGGTAGTTTTGGTCAATATTCACAGCTCTGGTTGTGTAAGGAGCTGTAGTATTAAAAACATTAAAGTACAGGAAGGCAGATCTGAATATATGTACTTAATTAAACCTTAAGGATGGTTTTCCACGTTCAACTATTAAAGTTGCATTAGGGCTATAAAGTATAGTATACAGTAAATCACTCTGAAAAGTCTGGTCTCAGTTTAACCTTTTTTTTTCAAAAATACAACAGTACTTTGACTTTCAAATAAATAAACTAAACTAAACAAATGCTATATAGACTTTACTAAACAAATAAAGATGCAACAATACCTTTGAGGCTCTTAATGCACATGCCAATAAGGCTTGTTATTGTTACTATATTATTATTATTATACATAGTAACAATATTTTAAGTTTATGGAATTATTCTGCATGAGATAAATGTTATAGTGGAAAAAGGTCATTTCAATTGGTTTTGTATCAATTCATTGTTATTGTGACAGGTCTTGGTTGGTCTTGACTTTGCATGAAAACCTTGAGGGAATACCATTTTGTTTTGAATATAAACCAAAGTTGTGTGATTTAGAAGTTGAGAGAGGATGGTGCTCTGCTAAAGAGGTTAGTGAGTTTGGTTTGAATCATGCACTGTCAATGTTGCTGCAGGTGGACAATTGTAGGGGGAATAAAGCTCAAGTGAACAGTAAATTAATTTCACGCTGCAGAAAAAAAAAGCAGAGGCATTTTCATACATTCGGTGAAAGCTGAGGGCCGCACAGAGGAATGAGGCATGACAGAGTTGGCTGCGAGGCTCTAAAAACGAGGCCGGGCACGGCTAGCTTTAAAGTGGATCATTTTCAAAAGCTGCGCCTTGAAGTCTTGCATTAGAGATGAGGTTATTTTATGACTGAAGCTGCAAAGGTGGGAAAAGCATCAACAAAATAATGAGGAAAAGTACCTCTCAAACGCCGGCCATGACACCTCTTCACTCAGCTCGGACCCTTCACTGCTCCCTGCACACAGACAAGTCATCAGGGCGTTATGTTGACCCACACATGAATCTATATAACCCATATGACATTAGCAAGATGAGCTGAAGCCTTACCAAGCGAGATGCCGCTGGACAGAGTGGAGCTCTCAGCCTGAACGCAGCTCGGACTGTGGCTCTCCATCACACTGTCGTCCAGTAAGTGTCTGGAGCCGGCATTTGGGAACGTCGCACTTTTGAACTCCACCGTGTTCATTTTGTGAATAAAACTGCACCAAAGAAGACAAATTGCACTGGTGATCACAGGTTTGGGGCAGCATTTTTTCTTTAATGGATAAATGATTCCGCATTACATCGAGTGCTTGGTCATTTTGTAAGTTCGGATTTTTGCTGAGCGAACGAGCAACTTTTAATTGAGGCTTTTCCAGCAACCACTACTGTGTTCTACTGGTAGTGTAAATGGCCAATTGATGATTAGAAAACCATGTAAAATTAGGTAAGCATAAAACTTCCCTAACCCAAGAATCTGGAGCATCAGGACTTAAAATGTTTGGAGTTGATGACTATAAACCAGACTCTTAACAGTAGTCCATGGGTCTTTTTTATTTCCTTCTATGTACTTTACAAAAAATGCATATCAGACTGAAACTGACTTGTATCCCAGACTATGGCACTTCCTGTGTCCGTAGGGCAGGAGGTTTCGTGGGGAGGGGGGCGTGCCAGGGACTTTGGTTCCTTCAGCTGCGATTATGCATTTACGCCCACAGAGAGGAGACGCTTCCTGACCTGAAAGTAAAGTTATGACATCATCTTTTTAAATCATTGACAGAACAGCATCCATTGATCATTGACTAACAAACAAACAAGCATCAGAGCAAGCATAAGACAACTATAAAGATTGTAAAAAAAAAAAATACCATGCGTTATCTTAACAACTCACCGACAAGGTCTTCTTTTGAGGCATTAGCTCGTGGTGTGCTGGTTCCAGGCTCAATCTTCTGTGACAATCTGAAAGCACAATCGTCAATAATGGCGTGTGCTTGATTTTTCTATACTCTAAGACACATACTTGTAATTGTCGTCCTCCACAAACTTCTGCAGCTCCTCAATGTATCTGACAGAGTTGAGATATTTCTGAATATGAGGCATTAAAGGCACATCTGGAAAAAGGAAAACAGGAGATGAACACATAGTATACAATATAAAACATAAGCATATATTAAAAGTTGGTTATAAAAGACAGACAGTTATTTATTTATTATATAAAACTAGCATTTCTTATTTGAGTTGTAATGTATCTCATAAAATAAAGTGAGCGAATAAGCGATTCTATAAACCTACCATATGTGCAGGATCTTTGTAAATCGGATATGATTCGGAGGATATTGTTCATGAGATTGGACCGTTGCTCGCTCTCCAGGATGCTGCCCGTAGAGGGATACGCAGAATCGATGTAGGTCAGGTCCGACAGGTACATGCCTAGAACAGAAAATAATGTGCCGTTAATTCCATTTTAATGAATAACTACACAAGAACGACCAACACATAATTTCACACAAATCAACAAAAGTATGATTTCCCCAATGGTAAAATGATGTGTCAATGATGTGTCAAAAGGTCGTTTTGGTGGCCCTGGCCGTGGTAAAAGTCATATGAGTGCATCTGGCAGAAGCGTTAACTTAACGGTCGCCGGAAACAGGGATTTAGGGCCAAACACAGAGGGTCCAGCTCATTACACACATGTAGCACAGAACAAGACACTGTAGTACGGCCGGGTTTCCTTTGATGCATGAAGCATACACAGGTGTAACATCCTGAGTATAAAAAAACAGCTTGTAGAGAAATACCACCTCAGGGAAACTGCCAAAACATTACAAACTTTTATTTGCATTTGACCACACACTGCACTTCTTTGTTGAAGTCACTATGCACTTTGGTCTGGCCTCACTTAATAGTAAGGCCAGACCAAAGTGCACTGTGACTTTTTCTTAGATCAAAGACAACTTTGTACAAATGGTTTTCCACAGAACCCAGAAAAAATAGATAATTATGTATTTGATCATTCTACTTCAGCAGCTCTCATTCCATCTCCATTCCAATTCTTTCACTTCATTCTTTCCTGGAAAACCTAAACCATTTTGGAATTCTGAATCTCTCTTGATGGGATGCCGAAACAAACTGTGCATCCCATAATTCAGTAGATAAAGATTAACGTCTTCTAAAGTGACCCAGTGGAGAGCACATCTTCGGTTCTCTTCTTTCCACTGCTGTCTATTGGAACTTCACACGCCAGCGCAGAGATTGAGAGCAGATGTGGGAGAGCTTATCACACACTCGATTACATGACAACATCCCACTCTTCTTCTTGGAAAACCTTTATTTCCTTAAAGATGTTTGCAAACAGGACACCAATAAGTAATCCAAAAGCTGAACATGTAAAAACAAGCTCAGCAAGGTGTCGATCCACAAACAATATGACCTCATTGATGTAGCGCACAAAATATGAGCATCTGTCTGGGATTACCAACATGTTTTTAACTAAAAGCCAATAAAATAAATACACATTTTTGGAAAGCTCGATGTGTGAGGTGTGAACTATGGGAAAACAAAAACAAAAGAGGCTGCAGGCTGCTATTGTATTAGGAATGTTTATTGATCTTCAAAAAGTGCTCGATTCCATATAAGCTTTATATTATTATTATTTAATAATAGCACACACATATAATGAATGATATGTGTGTGCTTTCTGGCTGGTTGGAGCTATGACAGTCACTGTGGTGATAATCGGCTCCTTTGGAAAGGCATGAGCAGGAAAGTAAACAATCATGATTCTCTAATGGAATGTGAAAAAAAAAAAAATATATATATATATATAAAAGATAAATAAATAAATAGAGTAAATAAACAGGTATAGGAAACATGCATGTATTCCCATTGGGGTGATGACTCGGGGCATGGCTGTGGAGGGCTGGTGTGTGCTGCCGGGATCATCCTCTGCGCAGTTTGTCTGCTGCTATAGTGCTGCTCGTTGTCTCTGGGACCGGTCGGGGTGAGGTGCTGAGCCCGCTGCGGCGTATCATTCAAATGTGATGCGAATTGGATGAATTATTATTTTTATGAAACATTATGATTTATCATAATATACATGGGGTGGGAGTTTATACGTTTTTTCTTCTTCCCACTCCATTTTCGAGCTCTTGGAGTGTGCTTATGAACAACAAGGCCTATGTGAATATGTAATAGGTGGTTTTATGTTTTATTTTTTTATTTTTCTTCAGGGCACAGGAGCATTAGTGAATCATGTTCTGTTCTTGTGCAATGTTGTGGGATGCTTGTTGTGTAAACAAATGTGTAATGTTATGGGCTCGAAAGAAATAAACAAATGAAAAATGAAATGAAAAATTTAATTAATATGTTAACAAACAAACTGGAAAACTATGGCATAACTATGGCAGAGAATGTTTGGAGAGATAAGTACTGTAAGATGGAGACGACAGATTGAGGAACGCAACATGTGAGGTACCACAGGGGTCAATACTGGGACCCAGATTATTTATGATGTACAGAAATTTAAATCAACATGAATTAAGTAAAATAGTGGTCATGATTGTTATTGATATTTTAATTATAAATCGATTAAACATTTCTTGGAAACCCCACGTAACGAGGAAAATAAGTTGCTAAATGTGTTGGAATGATGAAAAGGGTACGCTACACAGAAACAGTTATGTGTGTAACTGGTGCAGTCATTAAGTTTGTTCAGTGTGCAACAGTTTCACATGTGGCGGCCCAATAAGTGAGTTTCCTCCATGCGCTGCAGTTTTTGGTTTTTGGTCCCCGGGTGCTAAACTGCGGCAACCTCTGCTCAAAGTGTAGGATGGGTCAAATGCAGGACCATTTTTTATACGCAACATCAATTAAGCAATTATTTCTTTTTAAAACAACAAAATAGCAAGGGAGAAAATTGGAATCAATGCTTTTTTTGTAATAAAAATAGTTTGTAGGCAATGTCTATGTGTATTTAGTGACAAAAAACCCCCAAAACTATTCACTAGTAGCAGAATATGGTGTTGTTTCACGGCACATTCTCACATCCAGAGTTATATACAACCATAACTAAACAATAGAAATGCAGTAAAAATATCCTTCATAAAATGTCCTTCCATTACACCTCCGCCAGAACGACCTTTCCAACTCCACAGGAAGTTCAAAAGAGCCTCCAACCCCATCAAAGATAAATCCAGACTGTGGCTACAGGAGAAAAGTCAAGGAAATTAAGGATTATGGGAATAACATTTTTACAATAAACAAAATGCTTTTTGTCTTTTCAGGAGTTAGCAAAGCACTTTGACCACTTATACTATTCTCTCTGTAGTCTTTTTCCATGAGCATGACATCAGAGTGGGCCGGACCACTCACCAGAAAAAAAAAAAAAAAAAAGCCAACAATCTTGACCTCCCACACCCCCCCTTTCCCATGCTCTCCTCCTCCTTTGTGAAAAACTCAAGGCATCAGTTGTGAGAGCGCAATGTGTTGTTTGGAAGTATCCGGCTGAACTATGCCCCAAACCAAGGACAGCTGAGTAGAGGAGCGCAAGGAGTAAAAAGTGGACTAAAGCAGACTGCAATGAAGATCCTACAGAGGTGAAAGCGGTTATCAAGAGCGCATACTTCTACTTTAAAAAACAAGGTAGATATTTGGAATCGTTTGTTTTATAGCATGCGTGTGTGTGTGTGCGTACGAACAGCTGGGAGGGCTCTAGCTGAGGTTGTAAAGGTTAGTATGCATCGTTGACTAGGACTGAATTAGAACTAACAAAGATAAAGCTGGGGACACACTAAAGCTTGAAACATTGACAAGCATAAAGCAACAGCATTTTTTTTTTTTTTTTAAAGAACCAAAAATCAACCCTGTGCTGCTTTTTGAGACAATCATTACAATTAGAACGAGATTGGAACGTGTGGAAGACACTCAAAGTGTGATGTCTCAATTAAATCATCCAATACAATAGTTCTCAGTTGAATGAAAAATGACTTGGGTGTTGCCTTGTGTCTTGTGAAGTGAAAACAGATGATGGTTGACAGGAGAGGAAAGTAGGACAACATCGCCGCTACCTTCCTGTAAAAACATTTGGAGCCGACAGATCTGATCAGATGTAGAGATTGTAGAGATGCGGGGAGAGTTATGTATATTATTCTTGGCTTTGGGTTTCCTAATACAGCAGCCTCTGACAGAAGGGCCCAGTTAACCTGCAGGACTGAAGGTTAGATCAATATTATTAACCATAATGAGGTGGTGACATGGCACTCAGCACTGGACGTTATAGGAATGAGTTCATAGAAGAACAGTGCAAAGGTTGAGGTGAGGAGTGAAGTGCTGCTTTCGATTGTTCAAATCAATTAGGCCAAAATCGTACTTTTTAAATCTGTTCAATTCCAGCATTTATTTTAGACAGACTGTTCTGTAATTGATATAGACCTACTTCATTACAAGCAAAAGAAATAGTTCTATCTTCTACCTCATTGCATTTGTACAATTGACTAGAATATAGTAAGTAGATTGGAGATAGATTTAGATCAGCAACTGTAAATCCTCGTCTAGCATAATATATTGAACAGCTTTTAAAAAATGTTTAAGGTTGCTGCTATAATTTGCAGCTTATTTTAACTGATTATTAAAATATCCATATTATAAGTTCATAAAATGTTTTTGGCACCTTTCCCTCACCGTAATGTAATGATAATAAAATAATTGTATCAGCAAAGACAGAAGTCATGAGTGAGGGCCAGTACTGATGTCAAAGACCCCACTCTTAACCACATCATATTTGAACCTCTAACAATATCAATGTGTTGCACGGTCATATCACTTCCACTATCATTAGCCCCAAATGTTTTCACTTATGTCACAGTCCTCTGCTGGGATCTCTGGAAAATACCCCATTCCCAACAAAGCCACATCTGTGAACATTGCAAACCACCGCTAAAAGCGAGGCCTTACATGAACACTTGAACACTGAGGTGGCAAAAGTACCATGCTCAGTCTATCATGGTTAAATAGACTTTAATCTAAAATTAAAAATCAGTCCCAGTTGAAAATAATAATTTCTTCAAAAATCACACAATGCCCGGTGTGATTTGAATGTTTAAGATTGAATGCCTTATGTGATATAGGCTGTGAAGCACTTATAGTGTCTTGCATACAAGGATGCCCAGCCCACATGGGCTTATAAGACACCATTTATGCAAATACAGAGACACAGTATCCGGCACATACACCGAATCATACAACAAAATCATAAACAAAATCGAACACAAATGCTCTCATTTAAATAGATGAGACTGCTGCTTCTTCCAAGCTTTACTTAAAAATGAAGACACTTTAAACACTTGATTTTAAAATAAAAATGTCATCTTGTCATAATCACAGCCCCAAAACAAATCAGGATCCCGGGAGAACGTTTCATAAAACAACACA